TACGTAAGCACCAGTAAATATTTAAATATAACTCCCACATCCGAGTACATACGACAATATAGTGGGTATCAATTTAAAGGTCAACCACTCCTCTTGGATATACTATCAACTTCTCGGCTCAATGTCATTCAGGAGTAAATATATACGCTACAGAATACAAATTCTGTCATTTTTTCACACAAAAGTAAAGGTCCATTTGACCACCTAATAATTGACCGATCTTTATCAAAACCGGCATGCATATTCTTTGGCCCAATCTCCTTCTCCATGTAGAAATTCGTGATGTTTGGGCCATAATTGCGGCCTCTAGAGCGACCAGAAAAACGGACAAAAATTTAGTTTTTGGTCCATTTCATCCCCTAAATATTAACCGATCTTTACCAAAAACAATAGGGATCTTCATTGGACAGAACCCATCCTACATGCAAAATTTCGTGAAGATTGGTCCATAACTGTGGCCTGTATCAGGTTTACAAATTATAACGGACAGACGGACGGATACACATGTCGAAATATCAAATTGAGACGTTTTGTTGAAATTGATGCAGATGCAGCCATAGCTTCAGTATGTATTTCGAACGGGTGCCTAATTGATATTTGTCCCATGGTACGCAGACGACTCTAAATCTGCCCGAATGAAATTAAATTTATCATAGGGTGCAGAAAGACATGCGTATGTTCCTTCGAGGTAACATTGACATGCAATTGTAAGGATACATATGTACAATATACCCAAGTGGTGAAGGGTGTCATATAGTCGGCCCAGTCCGATTTTACTACTTTCCTTACTGGTTTTTTTTTAGTAAAAATATATTATTTTGAAAAAATATTTAAAAAAATAATATTTTTTTAAATCCTCATTTCAAATAAAAACTCATTTACTTTTTTTATAAAATATTTATTTTTTAAGACAATTTCTTTGTTGTTTGTTTTGCTCATTTAACATATATAACACACATACATATTTTATATAAATATTGAAGAAGTGTTTGATATTTTCGAATCTATTATCATGACTAAAGCAAGTGCATTGGTGTGCGTTTTCGGGGTTGGCTTAAAATAAATGTGTGCTTTATGTGTTTGATTGATTTTTAAATTTCTTTTATTTACAAAATGTCGATATTTTTTGTTTAATATTTTTTTATATATAAATGTAGATAAGGCATAACAGTATAATTATAATAAACAATATAGAATTTAATTAATATGTTTGTTTTGTGTGTGTGTATTTTATTTTATAAACTAAAGCCAATTTTGTTGGTTTTAAAAAAAATATATAGGGGATAATAATAGCAGGGTCACAGAATTGAAGAGGTTATGGTATGTTTACTACTATACTATTCCCTAATTTGTGTTAAAGTTGGTTCTTTGGTTTTGGATTTCAACTAATAACTAAGTGAAAACAATGCTTTTTTGGATTTAAAAAAAAAAAATTGAAATAGAAAATAAATTTAAAGATTTCTTTACAACAAAAAAATAATAATAAAGAACAAAATATAATTCTTTACACATTAAAATACAAAAAAAAAAATTAAAAAAAAATATTTAAAAAAATTTTTAATTAAAAAAAATATTTTGAAAAAAATTTTAAAATAAAAATTAATTTTTTTTAATTAAAATTATGTTTAAATTTTTACAGAAAATTTATAAAAAATGGAAAATAAAAATTAAAGATTTTTTTCTTTTGACTTATATATTCTATATACAATATATAATAATATTTTATATTTTTAATTTATTAATTTTATTTTTTATTTGAAGGCCACTTGGTTTTTGTGTAATTTTTAATTTTGGTCAAAATTATATAATATATATTATTTTACATTTTTATTTCTAATTACTTATTTTTTATTTTATAATATATTTTTTATATAAAAATTGCAAATATTGAAGGCCACTTGATTTTATATTTTTAATTATAATAATATTTTTTTTTTAATTTATAAAATAATATATATTTATACATTTACTTTGGATTTCTTTCGTTTATAATAATGCCTCTAATGCAGGATTTTTTAAGATTTTTTTCTTCAAATAATTTTAAGATCAATTTCCAATCGGTTTAACCGATGACTAACTAGCTTGGTTAGCGGAGAATGGCAAAAATTTTTTGGATTTGTGTCCCAGGAAATCTTTAAAAAAAGTGCTATGGAGCCTATATGAGATTTCTAGATTTAAAAAAGCTCATTTGATTCTCATTCTCTAAACATCACTTCTTTTTCAAATTTTAACTATTTCCCTTTGAAAAATGTCCAGAAAATTTTCTTCTATATTTTCGAAGGGAACCTAAATTATTTCCTCGAAAAAAAAAACAAATTTCACAAAAACTTATTAAATTTTTCCCTGTTTTTATACATTTAAACTTCTTCTTTTACCATTTACATACGGAAACAAAATTTCCTTCAAAAACTTATTTAATTTATTTTTGAATCATCCTGTTTTTATACGAGTTTTAACTTCTTCCTTTGACCACCTAATTTGTTTCCACATACACCTTGCAAGGAGAACATCAAATTTCCCTTTATTAATTTAATTATTAATTAATTTAAATTATTTTTGAACCACCCTGTTATTCATGATTATCAGTAATTGTCATTTATCGTATCCAAAAAATTAGGATTTCTGCTTTTTTCCCTCTGTGAAATTTATTTCCCCAATCTCTAGGGAGGGATAACCGCATATTTCCCTTCATAAATAAATTTAAATTATTTTTGAGTCATCCTGTTTTTTTTCGGAAAAAATGCCCCCATAATTCAATAATGTGTCCAAAGAACTTATAATTTTTAATTTCTACCCCATTGACAATATTTCCCCTACAAGATTGAGCAAGGAGAGTTCAAAATTATCCATTACAAAATTAAATGACAATTTTTTGAATCATCCTGTTTTCTTCATTAAGCTCTGAAATCTTTCAGCTCCTAGGGAGTTCGAATAGATATTTTATTCACACAGTTTTCCCTTAAAGCCCCTACATGAAGGAGCTTTGCAGGGAGAAGCGTATAGTTTCCATTCAAAAAATTTATTTAAATTGTTTTTGAATCGTCCTGTTTGCTTCTTTAAACCCTGGTACTTTTCAGCTCTCCGGGAGTTTGAATAGATATTTTATTCACACAGTTTTCCCTTAAAGTTCCCACCTGCCTATCACTCATTTAAAATTATAAATATCCCGACAAAAAAATATAATTTCAAATGGATCATTCTATTCAAAAAATGAGAAAGCTTTGCAGGGAGAACCCTATTGTTACCCTTCAAAAAATTAATTTAAATGATTTTTGAATCGTCCTGTTTCTTTCATTAAGCCCCGGGACTTTTCAGCTCCCCGGGAGTTCAAAAGATATTTTATACACCAAGTTTTCCCTTAAAGTCCCCATGTACCTATCACTCATTTAAAATTATATATATCCCGACAAAAAATATAATTTAAATGGAACACCCTATTTTAAGGGGGTTTCCGATAGGTTTTAGATTGTGTCACCTTAAAAATAGCTAGCTGATATTTTCATACGATCTATTCTGCGGAAGTTTTACAAATATTTTAATTAACTGGAAAAAGAGCAACTTTAGCTTATGAAATCCTGCTCAGAACATTTATTTTCCTTGACCTATCTAATTTGAAAAATATTTTTTTGAGTCACCCTGCACGAAATCTACCACCCTGATTTAATCTTATTGATCAGAGTCAACCAATCACTTCCTGCCCAGGGATCATTTCCCTTCAATTTTATCACGAAATTCCCTAAACATTGGCGATTTAAAAAATACATATTTTTGAGTCACCCTGTGCAAAATATGCAACCCTGTATTGCTGTATCAGAATGCCAACCTTACAGAAATTCAATCAAGTCCTATGCAATAATTTTGTGTTCCTTACGCTCTGACAAATTTTATGAGAGTAATTCTCGATGTTTCAATCTTCATTGCCTCAAAAACCGTGGGGTTTCAGGTGAGAATTGTGCTGAGAACCTAAGCCGAGTATGTGCACCATATCAAAAGACGCCCCCCCTGGCCTCATAAAGCGTCTTTTGTCAGAGAACCCCCCATTGCTTGTTGAGGAAAACCCCGATCCCTTAATACATTTAGTTTTTGAAAACTATTATTGGAGTCACCCTATATTGTTATACCCATATCAAAATATGTACACAATCCGAAACCCCTAATACCTGTACTATCTGAACTGTCCATCGCATTGTTTTTGTAAAATACAACTTCAAAAACCTTCAAGGGTTTTTCATTTGCATAAAAACTTGTCTAACCAAATTTTATTTGCCCAGGTCAGCGAAGGACCAAATCATGTACCATCAGATTACAGGGTGTTCCTTACAATATAGATTGAAATTTCTCTATAGAAGAAATTAAATCCAGTCTTGAAGCATTGAAACATCTCTAATATATATTAACAATGGAAAATGTATATGGGATATATCAAGGATCTATAATTTTCCCTTCCAAAAAAATCAGGAAGATAAATCAGATGTTTGGTATAGGGTGTTCCAGATAATTTATTTCTCATCTTAATGTGCAGGAAAGGGAAACAGCTGTTTATACATGGTATTCCCAACAAAATATATTGATCGGCTGCTAACACAGGGTGTTGCGAACAATATAAGCAGGTAAATTCTATGCCAAGTGATCAGGACGATATAAGGTGTTATTAAAATTCGCATCATATTTTCCTTTAAAAGGAATTAAAACTTTCTTTAAGGGGATAAAGACTGGTGAAACTGATCTCTGAAAGACTTTACTATAACCGGAAAATGTGCCAATGAACAGAAAAGGATGATAACGAAATTTACTGGCATTTTGCAGACTTTAAGACAAAGCCTAACTAAAAGAAAGTCCCTAATGCTCCCCACAATTCAAAAAACCTATATCATCGACATTTTTTGCCATTCCCTTCTAACTTTTTTAGAGGAAAATATTCCAAAACTTTCCCGCGAAATTCAAATACTGTTCTGCAAAGAAATAACTGAGGAAAACAAAATTTCCCTCTAACTCCCTCCCTACTTATATATAGACAAAATGTCCCAAACCCTTCGAAGGATTATTGTTGACTTCCTCTCCACCCAATGTTGTGGTGGTGGCGGATTTCATTGGTGCCGCTGGCTTCGTCGCATGATTACCATTAACATCTTGTATTAAAACTGCTGCCGATGTGGTTTCTGTCGCACTGGTGGCATCCAAGATGACTCGAGGCACTGCTGGCCGATATACACTTTGTGGTCTCATACGACACGCTGTCGAAGGGTCAAAACGACCATTCAATTCCATATCCAACAGTTTCTTATCACTTCCCAGGCAAGAAAATGAATGAGATCCGGCACGTATCTCCCGAATATTATATACCGGACTATAGCTGGAGGGTGGTGAGGGAGTTTTCGCCGCGTTCTTATGACAAAAATCACAACTGGCAGGAGGGGTATTTGGACAATGACCACATGATTCAGAGGCAGGAGCTAATGAGGGTTTTGAAATCACCGTCAGTGTTGAGGGGGTACGTCTTATGCTCGCTGAACCCTCAGACGATGAACACGAGGAAGAGGTGTCTGTTGAAGAGCCTGATATTGAGGAGGCACATTCAACATCATCTTCATCACTTGTTGTCATTATGGATTGCAGATCATCCGACAAGGTTTCAATGGAAATGTCTAAAAGGCTGGAACTATCATCTAAAGAATTCATACTACAATCAGCATCAAAGGAGGAGGAAGATTTGGTGTTGTTGTTATTGGCAGCAGGGGAATTTGTGGAATTTTCTGAAACTTTATATGCCTGCTCTACTTCATCCAGGGCATTGAGAATTTGACGACGCCGGGCATAATTGGGATTACGTCTAACCAAGAAATGACATGTCTCGCCACGTTTGCAGCGTTCCGTTTGGGCACGCAGCGGAATGTCATCGGGATGCAATTTGCGCTGATATTCTTGGCCGGGACAAACCTGGAAAAAAGATACACATAAAAAATTAATATCGAATATTTCAAACCTCTTTTAAATCCTTTTTGAACTTACCTCATATATGGAGAATTGTTCCACAGGTTCCATAGAATTATAGCAGGACAATAACAACTGCAGTAACTCATCTGAGGTAGTCTCTTCGGAGATTACCAAAGATTTGTATTGTGATGAGGGCAGCAGGGCTGAGGTATGAACACGAATCAAACCACCAGGTTTCAATTGCAGGCAGAAACGTGATTCACCTTTGGGATGACAGGCTTGCAAAATGGCCGGACGGGTATCATCATCTAAGACCATGACGGTTTTGACGCCAGCTCGACGCACCGACACTTCCATGGATAGATAGAAGAGACGGGGATCACGGTGGCGCATTTTTAGGCTGGAAAGGAAAAAAGAAAGGGACAATTATTAGAAGGGGATACAAAATTTAAAAACTGTAAAAAATATTTTTTTTTGTACGTCAAGAGCAATCCGTGGAATTTTTAAAAAAATGTGGGAAAAGAAGACAGACTAATGGTTACACTGGGATCAAAATGTATGAATCTATACATTAGTAGGACATATATGGGAGCTCATCTAAAGAAAACCCATTAAAATTCCTCACGTAGTTAAGATGGCGTACTATTTTACTGTAGTTCAACCACACACCATATGTGGAGGACTGCAAAATACGACCGATAGCATAGACACGAACCAGAAATAGCTTTGATCGATAATAGCGTTGGTGAAGTACAGATGTCGCTCAATTATTGTTTGAACAGAAAGGTTTAAAGGTGAACTTTTTAAAAATTATTTGTAAGGGCCTACATCAAGGCGTAGATTTTTTAAAAATTATTTTTAAGGGTCTACCACAAGGTAGATTTTTTTAAACATATTTCAATATTTTAAAAAATATTTTGACTACTTACCGCCTTAATAATTGCGCAATGACTTCCTTACTGGTCGTATCCCATTGTATGCCCAAGGTCTTGTATTCAATATCGATTTTCAAACAGCTGGTGAATACTTTAATGGTGGTCTGCAAAATTAAATAAAATCATTCGTTTAAATCCTACTTCGAAAAAAAAAATTATCCAAACATCGCCACAAACTTACCTGAGGTAATTGTTCATTTAGGCTGGAATAGCTGGAGGCCCGCGATGGTGTACGCTGTAAATCTGTGGGCGGTTCGGGGCTGCCGCACATCGATGAGGCACATGATGTGCTTGAACGCAATGACACCGAATCGGAACGATTGCGTAGGGGTGATATTTGTACGTGTTTGAGCATCTGCAAAGAAAAAGAAACGGAGAAGAAGAAGACGATGAGAATAAGGATTTTTTTGTTAAAGGATTTCATCTTAAATTTATTGTTGTTGTTTTTTTTTTCTTGGAAATCTATTTTTAGTTATTGTGTTGTGTGAAATATCTAAAGCAGAATGCTGATGACATTGAGAGGATTTTTTTGTTGTGAAATTTCTAAAGAGTTTATTTTTGTGTTTGTCGAACCGACCGGCCTGCCGTTTGGTCGGCCATTTGTCCCGACAAAATTTATGAAAGAAAGCTTAGCACTTAACAAATCCAACAACACGAACAATTCAATACACCATTGTTCCAAGCAATTGATTGCGGTATGAACGAAAAACTAAAAGGTAATGAAATATTGAGAAAAAAAAGAGTTCAGGCCCCCTCCACCTCTTCCTGCTCGCTCATCTCATCTTCGAACAAAAACCCAACAAGAAGATGTATCCGGTCTATTGAAAAAAATACTGCACAACAAAGGCCCTCATTCCAACCATTGAAAAAACCCCCCTACCATAGCCATCCGAAGTAAGGTAGGCATGTTTCAGAGCTTACTCTAGGCTAAAGATATAGGGGCAACAAAGCCTACAACAACACCAAGGTATTAAAATATAAGCACGTTCACAAAAATATGGGGGAAGATCCCCCACAACAACAACAATAGTAATAATGATTAATTATGGCCCTGTTTAAGTGGGTATTTATGTAGAGAGCTAAGCACACACCCACATAACCGGCTGGCTGACTACCAGGCGAATTGGCATAAAACAAGGGAAGTGGTAATCAAGCCTTCTCCTCCACCTCCAACAACTACTTAAAAATATATTTTTTTCGGTATGAATTGAAACTCAATGTTGCATAAATCCCTTCATGTATTTTTCAAAATTTTGTATTTTGAAAAAAATTAAAAAAAAAAAATTCGATCTCCACACAAAAAAATGTGCATTCAAATGCATCCGTTTCAGGTTTATTAACTGGCCTCTCTGCCTCTTTTGTGTTCACATTTGAAAAAAACAACAACAATTTAATTTGGAATTATTATTACCCACCACAACAACAGCAACAAAAAAATCTGCTGAAGTTCAAATGTTGGGTGTGGGTGTACATTGTCACATAAGCGGAACATATGGCCATAGCAGCAACCAAACATATCGATGGACGGACGGACATCTATGATAATATACACGTAACTGCAATCAGACACATTTTATGATATGGATGGCAGGGGTGGGCAAACATGAAATTGGGAAAAATCGGTTCAGATTAAGATATAGCTCCCATATATATTTACGTCCGATTTAATGTAAATGGGCCACCAAAGTCCCTATATATCTTTCGATTTGCACGAAATTTGGCAAATCGTAATGAATTAGGTCTAGAATGGTGTGTATTAAATTTCGTGGAAATCGGTTCAGATTTAGATATAGCTCCCATATATATTTTCGTCCGATTTAAGGTAAATGGTGCACCAAAGTCCCTATATATCATTCGATTTCCACGAAATTTGACAGAGCGTACTGAATTAGGTCTAGAATGATGTGTGCCAAGTTTCGTAAAAATCGGTTCAGATTTAGATATAGCTCCCACATATATTTTCGTCCGATTTAAGATAAAAGGTGCACCAAAGTCCCTAAATATCTTTCGATTGGCACGAAATTTGACACAGCGTACTGAATTAAGTCTAGAATGATGTGTGCTAAATTTCGTGAAAATCGGTTCGGATTTAGATATAGCTCCCATATATATTTTCGTCCGATTTAAGGTAAATGGTGCACCCAAAGTACCTATATATCTTTCGATTTGCACGAAATTTGGTATAGCGTACTGAATTGAGTCTAGAATGATGTGCGCCAAGTTTCGTGAAAATCGGTTCGGATTTCGTTACAGCTCCCATATATAGTTTCGTCCGATTTAAGGTAAATGGTGCACCAAAGTTCCTAAATATCTTTCGATTTGCACGAAATTTCGTAAAGCGTAATGAATTAGGTCTAGAATGATGTGTGTTAAATTTCGTGAAAATCGTTTCAGATTTAGATATAGCTCCCATATATATTTTCGTCCGATTTAAGGTATATGTGGCACCAATGACCCTAAATATCTTTCGATTTGCACGAAATTTGGCATAGGGTACTAAATTAGGTCGAGAATGATATGTGTTAAGTTTCGTGAAAATCGGTTCAGATTTAGATATAGCTCCCATATATATTTTCGTCCGATTTAAGGTATATGTGGCACCAATGACCCTAAATATCTTTCGATTTACACGAAATTTAGCATAGGGTACTAAATTAGGATGAGAATGATGTGTGTTAAGTTTCGTGAAAATCTGTTCGGATTTAGTTATAGCTCCCATATATAGCTTCGCCCGATTTTAGGTAAATGGTGCACCAAAGACCCTCTATATTTTTCGATTTCTGCAAAGTGGTTAAGGGTATCATATAGTCGGCCCAGTTTGGCTTTACTACTTTCCTTACTGGTTTAAAAATTATGTTTTAAGGGTCTACCACAAGGCATGGATTTTTTGAAAAAATATTTTTAATAGTCTACCAAAAGACGTGGATTTGTTGAAAAATTATTTGTAGGGGTATACCACAAAGCGTGGATTTTTTGAAAATTATTTTTTAGGGGTCTACCACAAGGCGTGGATTTTTTGAAAAATTATTTTTTAGGGGTCTACCACAAGGCGTGGATTTTTTGAAAAATTATTTTTTAGGGGTCTACCACAAGGCGTGGATTTTTTGACAAAATTATTTTTTAGGGGTCTACCACAAGGCGTGGATTTTTTGAAAAATTATTTTTTAGGGGTCTACCACAAGGCGTGGATTTTTTGAAAAATTATTTTTTAGTGGTCTACCTCAAGGCGTGGATTTTTTGGAAAATTTTTTTTAAGGGTCTAGCACAAGGCGTGGATTTTTTGAAAAATTATTTGTAGGGGTCTACCACAAGGCGTGGATTTTTTGAAAAATTATTTTTTAGGGGTCTACCACAAGGCGTGGATTTTTTTAAAAATTATTTTCAGGGTTCTACCACAAGGCCTTGATTTTTGAAAAAAAATATTTTTAGGGGTCTACCACAAGGCGTGGATTTTTTGAAAAATTATTTTTTAGGGGTCTAACACAAGGCGTGGATTTTTGAAAAATTATTTTTTAGGGGTCTAACACAAGGCGTGGATTTTTGAAAAATATTTTAAGAGTCAGGGGTTTTTTTATTTTATTTTTCATGTGCCTCGGCATTCCCATCCCTGTTCGTTTCGCCTGCAATATGTTGTTAACTATTATGATTATTTGCAATGTAGCATAAAGGAAATGCATAGCACCTTTTTCTGTTGTTGTTGTTGTAGTTGTTATTGCCATTCCATGCTCCCAGTAAAATATTTATTCTTTTGTTGTTGTTGCATTCTGTGCTTTATTCTTTTTTTCTTTCTATTCATTGTAACTTTATTGAAGCGATAGCTTATGGCATGTACGTGCCCAAGCATACCATCATGCACTGGTGCGTATTGGCCGAGTAGAACGACAATGACAATGTTTTTCTCCTCCTCTTCAACGGCACACTCAAAATGCATTGCATTGTAATGCAAATGTGGCATGCAACGTTACACGTTGCACACATTCGAGCACACACGCATACAAAGAGAGATAAAATCGTAAAGCGAAAGAGGAAGTCCACACTTGTGGATTGATAGGCAGCCATACATACATGGATGGATGAATGAAGAGATTTGAAAGGGAGGGGAAATTGAAGAGGTGGTGGAGGAGGAAGGGAAGAGGTGTGGATGTTCTCCTCTTGTACGTCAAACTAAATCAGTTATCAATTTTTTTTTGTATTTAAATCGATTGAAAATTTATTTTCCCTCTAAACTTCACAATCACAATTTTTCCAAACTTCGAAGTAATTTCATTTTCATAACTTCTTGGCAACAAAAACAACAACACGGAAAAAAAATTCCGCATTCCAGCTATTGAAGTTGTTTTTGTTTACTTTGCAGTTAACCTTAGCAGTTTGTCAACATTCCTAAAAGTATGCAAGTTTAGAGGAAGTTGTTGTCGTCTTCATCGATGGAGAAGAGGTGGAGGGGGAATTATTTAAATTTATTTTTTCATCCCGCCATGAAAAACTTGTGGAAAACTTCTTCTAAAAGTATTTGAAGTTGTTACGGAACCATGTTCTGTTAGATGGGCGTGACAACGAAATAAAAAAACTAATGTGCGTAAGTTTGGAAGTTTTGTTCATCTTGATGATTTATATCGGGAGAGTAGAAAAGAAAAACTATAAATTTTTAAATAGTTATGGAGGAAAATGTATATTGGGGAGGGGAGAGTAAAAAAAAATATATTTTATGGGACCTACATAAGTCGTGGATTTTTTAAAAAATATTTTGGGCACCTACACAAAGCGGGCACCTAAACAATGCCTGGATTTTTTTAAAGAATACTTTTGGGCACCTATACAAGCCCTAGATTTTTTAAAGAATATTTTTGGGCACCTATACAAGGCTTGGATTCTTTAAAGAATACTTTTGGGCACCTAAACAAGGCCTGGATTTTTTAAAGAGTACTTTTGGGCACTTACACAAGGCCTGGATTTTTTAAAGAATACTTTTGGGCACCTACACAAGGCGTGGATTTTTTAAAGAATATTTTTGGGCATCTATACAAGGCCTGGATTTTTTTAAAGAATACTTTTGGGCACCTAAACAAGGCGTGGATTCTTTAAAGAAGACTTTTGGGCACCTATACAAGGCCTGGATTTTTTAAGGAATATTTTTGGGCACCTAAACAAGGCCTGGATTTTTTAAAGAGTACTTTTGGGCACTTACACAAGGCCTGGATTTTTTAAAGAATACTTTTGGGCACCTATACAAGGCCTGGATTTTTTTAAAGAATATTTTGGACACCTATACAAGGCCTGGATTTTTTAAAGAATACGTTTGGGCACCTATACAAGGCGTGGATTTTTTAAAGAATATTTTTGGGCATCTATACAAGG